TTTTCGTTTAAAAGAAGGATGGAAAAATTAAAAGGATTTGACGGTGGAGAAGATGCATAGGAAGAAGATATATTCTCTTTATGTGTGTCTCCTCCCTCGTGAATTTAGGGTAGGCAACGCATCTGTAATTGTAAATGTCTATGGGCAGCGGTCACTACGCCATTTTAGCGGATTTTGATGGCCGCTTGCTCGTTTGCCACCTTAGGATATAAAAAAAAAATTAGAAATTACCTAGTTGAACCGCCAAACCATTTTCTAATTAAAAACATGAACACCAAAATGCATTTACATTTACAATCAATTCTTAAGTATAGTCAAGGACTTTTGGGGTGTTCTATAAATAGAAAAAATTGCCTTAATCCTGACTTTGAGATTACCTCTGCTTACAAATAACTAAGGCAGCAGTGAGTTGAGAAAATGACGGGATTTTTTCACATACATTTAAATGCTGTGTCCTATTGCTTTACAAACAATTGCAATTTTTAAATTTCTCCGATAGTATAGTAAATTGTTTGTTTTTTAATTTGATTTATGTTTGCATCTTTTAATTATTTTTTTTCTTATTTCAGTGTCATAGTTGTGACAGATTGTCCGAATTAGTATTTCACATAGTGACAAATTCTGTACTTGATATCAATGATATGGTGCAACCAGTCTTTGAACATGGTAATAAAGAGAATAATGCATTGCAAAATATTATTTCTATGTTACTGAGCCCTTCTCTTGACTGTGTGTTTACAAGGTATGTATTTATATACATGTATATACATGAAATTAATTATTTTATTATCTTGTCTTACTTCTTACTAATATTATAAATGCGAAAGTTTAGATGGATGGATGGATGGATGTTTTTTAGAGTTTGTAGGTTAAACGGCTGAATGGATTTTGATGAAATTTGTCATAGTCTTAGAGTATAGTCTGGAAGAATACATAAGCCACTCACTTTCGTTTTTATTTAAATTCCATGCGGACGGAGTCGCTGGCAAAAGCTACTATGTCATAAAACTCGATGTTTTTGTGAATCAAAGACATACAGAGTTAGTAGGTGAAGCATGTTATGTAAAATTAGCTTTTCTAACAAGGAGATTGTATATATGATCAAGATTATGTATACATTACTCATATATTATGTATGGAGGGAAGTCGGAATTGTTACATTAATGATACAATATTTGTTTAGTGTTAAGAGTGACTGAATTACAATTTATTTAATTTCAGATTCAATAGAAAAGAAATTATTAGTAAGTTAAAGCCCCTAGCGAAGTTTATTGCTCAAGAATATTTAAAGCAAGTGACAGTACAATGTCTAAAACTGGATGTTTACAAAAACAACAGCCTCTTGCTGTGGACGGCCATTGCAGAAGCAATTTGTGAAATTAATTGTGCAACTTCTGTTGATATTTTACATCAAATGCTTCTACTGCCCTTGAATTGTGAAGATAGTGCATTTGCCTCGGTAAGAATTTTACTTTCTACATATAAAATTTTAATCTTTCCAGGTTAACATTAGAGGAATTGTATTTTTTTTGTACAGGTGGATGTTTCTGTAGACGCATGGTTTGCTTTATATAATTTTGCAACCACTTTAGTGGAAGAAAATTGTATTGATAACGACATTTATGATATCATCAGCAATCCTGCTATTACAGGCACCTTAAATAAATCTTTTGTATTCAAAGTTTCACTTACCGTTTTAAACCAAAGAATACAAAAAAATAGCGAAAATGGTAAGTAACAGTCATTAGAAAACATCTTATTGCAGAAGAAACTCAAGTAAAACATTATTTTTCACCTTTCAGATAATTTAATTCACAAATGTGTAGATACCTTGCTGTATACCATGGAGGATATTATTTACTGTTCTGTGAAAAATAACTTAATACTCCTTCAGAAAACAATTATTTCAATGCTCAATAAGCTTGCCAAAGAAAATGATGAATATTTAGCTAAAACAACGGTGTCAGTTGTTAATAATGTTCTAAAAATAGTAACCAAAAATATCAAACAAATTGAAAAAGTAAGTCATCCATAAATTTTAGACTTGGTATTTTATTAGTTAAATAAGTAATAATTGCAACATGTATTTTTGTTTTCAGGATGTTGACCTTGCCAATTTTCTTGTGAAACTTTTTGAGCCATTGGAAATATTGTTTGCGCAAGAAGCTTATTGTAATCTAAAATTATTAATATCCGATGAGTTGGAAAAATTCAGCAAATGCTTTACTGGAACAGATAAAAGTGTTCACAATATCATTAATAACATTATCAATCAGAAAAATGGAACAGTAACTTCCAATATATCAGGTGAAAGAAGTGTAAGTCCTGGTATTCTTGATAATTTTACTGAACCACAAGTTAAAGTACCTAAGAAGGGTAAGAAAAAGGATTCAAATATAATTGACACAGTTGTAGAAAACGGAGAGGAGTATGTTGTTGTAAATTCTAATTGGAAGTTTAATCCGAAGAAATTGACCGATAACCAGAAAGAAAAATTAAAACGCACAAGAGAAGATATACCTGCCTTGTATCAAGATTTGTCTCAGTCCCAGGATGAATTCAAAACAGCTTATAAAACAAATTCTGTTGATTCAACATCTTGTAGCAAATCCAACACTGTAGAAGACAATGTCGAATCTTCAATACTAAAGAACATGCCATGTTCTGATGTTGTGCCAACAATTATTGACAACATATTTATTGCCAGTCCTAAAAAACATATTCAAGAAATGACAATCTCGGACTCAGTATCAGCCAATTCAAATATTGAACAGAAACAAAATAGTAATGCAAAAACACCTCGTATGGCAATAAAAGACAGAGTCTTTAGAAATGTAAAAAATTTAATTGAAAAGTCTGGTTTGCAAATGGATGATTTAAACTCGACGGTCAATGAGAATCTTCTATCAACACCTAAAAGGAAAAAGACAGTTGATGATAATCTTGTTAATTCTGCACCTCCTAAAATGAATGCAGTTAGACCTGCACGAATGAAAAGAAAGCCTAAGAAATTGGAAGATCACAAGTTGTCGCCATTTAAAAAGCGAAGTTGTTCTGTAAATCAAAATAACTCCCAAAGTATAATTCCTGAGCAACAAGTTACACAAAATCAATCTTTGGAAAATGTGGAGAAACCGTTGGATGACGTTCCAAAACTAATAGATCCACCGGCGGATAACGTAACCCAAAATGTAGACAATGTTGATAAAAATTCTGAACAAAATTTGTCTAACGAAGAAGCAAAAGTCACAGCAATCGTATCCACAGTTATTGAAGACGAAACTCAAAAAATATCGGAAACAACTGATTTAGAAGATGATGCAATTAAAAGCGATTCTAATTCTACGATCGACAGCACAACTACTGATACAGATATTTGTGATGAAAATATTGACAAGAACAATGTCGCCACACCCCATACATTAAGCAAAGATAACACTTCAAAATCTACTAAAAAACCTGGTAGGGGACCATCTCGCCTTGAAAAAATATTAGCTATCGACATGGTTGAAGGTCATCCATTTTTAAATAATAATTCATCCAGATGTACTAGAAAATCGATTGAAACCAACGCGACTATTATTACGAGAAAAAGTATCGAAAAACTTAGCAAGCCAAAATCAAGTAAAGTCTCAACCAAAAATGATACAAAACCAAAAGAAAAAATGAAGTCGCCACCACGAAGTGTTGATAAAAATAGTGATTCAATTGATGATTTAAGTACAACTCAATCTCAGGATATTATAGAGAGTTCACAAGATTCTACTATATCCACGATATCCGTTAAACCAGCTAAGCATATAAATAAGATACCTTACGTATCCCTAGAAAATATAAAGGATTTAACTAAATTAACAAAACCATCAAAACATAGTGATGAACAATCTATGTTCCTAGATACTCAAAATGATGTACAAAACGATACAGTAGCGGCTGAAACCAATGAAGATATTGAATTATCCCGAAACAAGACTGTACTTCAAGATAAAACGAATGACGTAACAGCAGAAATGGATACAGAACAAGTCGAATGCGTTTCTAGTTCTGATGAAGTTACGGAAATAAAAAATGATTATCCAACATTGACCATTAGTTCCCAAGATACATGCAGTAATAATGATAGTCAGGAAACGGCATATGCCGATACACAACCACAAGATCCGAATCTTTTACTTGACGTAAACTTACCACTGCAATCTACAGTAACTGATGAAAACTGCGATAATCAAAATGAGACAAACGCACAACATGAGACAAACAAACATGACCACAATTACTGTTCCCCACTTAAAGATGACGTACAAAGAAAACAAGACTTCATGAAGAGTACGTTAGAGATATCTCCGATTAAAACATTAAGCCCCGTACGGGAAGAACAGAAATCATTAACTCCAGAAACTAGCAGAGATTTCGTAATTATAAAATTATCGTCACCCGTCCAAAGTAACGGTGAACCGTACAATAATTCAAATTCACCAGAAATATTTACGAACGATAAAATCTCTCCGGATAAGAGAGATCAATCGCCTCCTAGGAATGGACCGATTTTGAATAACTCTAGTCCCAGTTCATGTTTGTCTTTGAAGAAGAATCTACCACAAGTGAGATCCGGCAGAGCGGCGCAAATGCTAGGGTTATGTGTACCTGAAGGAATGAATAATTTTGATTCATTGAAGCCCGAGGAAAAAAAATCACCCTCTACAAATACGTCTGCTAGACGAAATTTACGTATCATGTATTCAACTAGTGAGAATAGGGAACCGGTTGAAATTGAAGATAACTCGACTTTCCTTAAACTGAGGAGACCTGTACCTATACCTGACAGTAGTCCTTCGGGACCTATTTTAAAACGAAAAATAAACATTGTTGACGATGCCACCATCTCTCCGGCGTCTAAAGTACGTTTAAATTTTTCATATTACAAGTTTGAATTAATTTTACTTGAAAATTACTATTTGATGTACTAATTTCTATGTTTATTTCAGAGAAAAAGGGTAAGTTTCCACGATCCACCGGTTTCGACGACAATTTGTGTTAAAAAATACATAGAATCGTGTGGTATTCGTTCTCCGCAGAATTCTATGGCGAAGCGTTCTGAACGACTAGCTCGAGTTCCCGCTAATCCTAAATCTCCAAAGAGGCTAGATACTGTATTCAATAATTTATTAAAATTAGAAAATGCTTTAACAAAAACCGTCGAAAGTTTCACGGAAAGTGATAGAATTAGTTCAGAGGATAGCGAAATGAATTCTCTCGAAGAAACGGCTGTAGAAGTAAACAAGAATTTGTCTGACACTGAACCAATTTATAAATTACTTATTAATTGCAACGATACTATTCATATTATTATCGATGAACTGTCATCAACAGACACGAAATCATCACTTCTAAAGGAATTTGAAGGAAAAGTGACTACGGTTAGTGATTTAGCAAAATTGACGGAATTAGAAATTAACAAATTCAGCATTAAAACGCCTAAAGTACAAGTAGCAAGAAAGGTTTTAAAAGAATATGCTGATAAAACCAAATCAAATGAATTACCAAGAACTGAAGATACTAATGAAAATCAAAGTATGAAATTGGATGATGAATTGAATAATAAAATAGATATGGAAGTCCAGACGGAGTTGAATCTCTCGTTAGCTTCAACTCAGACAGAAGTTGCAGCCCTCAGTACTCAGACACAAACTCTACAGTCCGGGGACATGACTACAATGTGTTTAATTGCATATCTATTCAAAGTATGTTTAATATCGATTCTAATAATTATTTGATAAAAGTCTTAAAACATTACTAATATTATAAATGTGAAAATTTAGATGGATGTTTGCTAGAGTTTGTAGCCTTAACGGCTGAACGGATCTCAATGAAATTTGGCATTGATTTAGAGCAGTGATTCTCGACTTTTTTTTTGTTGCGGCTCATATTTAACGATTTTAAAATTTGGCGGCACACAAAGACAAAGATAAAAATTATTTACTTATTATAACACACTGCATACATAGTTTATGACAAAATATTTAAATATACGAATACGAAATCCAACTAACGTTTATTAAGGGATTAATTCCAAGGTAATAATAAAAATTTGACACACAGAAGTGCCGCGACACAATGGTTGGGAATCACTGATTTAGAGGATAGTCTGGAAGAATATATAGGCTACTTTTGTTTTTTTCAATTCACGCTTTCAGAGTCGCGGGGGAAAGCTTGTATCCACTAATTTCTTTACTTGATCCATTGTATGATAATGGTTGAAAAGATATCCATAAGACTTTCAGTCCGGTTTAATTTATTTTTATTTAAATTTATTTTATTTTCAATATTCATTCAAATGTTTAATTTTCCCTTTTTTTTTCAGAAACCAGACTTTCTCAGTCACTTGTGTGAGAATCTTGACGAACCTTCGAAACAGGAGATCGCGAATGATTTACCAATGGATTGTATAACGGAAACATTAATAAGAAAATTGGATATTTCTAATTCTGACGACACGTTAACCACAATATTGGATCAACACAGGAATGTATCTGCAAATGGAACTTTATCGGTGCTACAAGAATATTTATCGTCCAGATTTAGTACTAAAGATTTAATTAAATTGTGTAGTGATATATTAAAAAATATATCTGACAGAACAAATGAAGGAAAATAATGTTCCTAATTGTTGGTAATTACGTTGATTTATTACGATTTATTTGATAAGGAACCATACTCAATACGTTTGCGCGTAAAACAATTTATTTACTCTAAATTGTATTGACACATGAACTAAGTCTTATTTGATTTAGTATTATGAACGATTACTGATTTAGGAAAGTATTGTTATACTTTTTATTTACTTTTACAATAAAAGTTTATCAGAACACAAAAAAATAGTCGTTAAAATAATGCATTGAACAAAGCTTTAAATACGAAAATATTTCGATCAGGGGCAAACGGTTGAATATTTTTTACTATTATTCTGTCGTTATGCAACTCAGAGATAATTAGAAGAGGCAGAATTTGTCAAAAAGGCATTTTTTCTGAAAACAACACCATCACGGGCTCTGATTGTACGCAAGTTATATAGTCTACACTAATATTATAATGATAGATTTGTATTTTTATATGTATTGAAATAACTTAAAACCACTGGGACGATTTAAATGCATTCATCATTGTAAAGCTAATTTATCAGTAACATAGGATATATTTTTATTATGTTCTAATATCGCGCGAGCGAAGTCGGGAGCAACAGCTAATATTAAAAAAACAAAGAACGGTTACTTAATTTGACGGAGTTTTTGTTAGTAAAAAATATTTTTACCAGCACTAAAAAAATCTCGCGTTTTTTTCTCTAAACTGGTTTATTTTGTTCAATTAGTTGATTGATACACTATCGAATTACGGGTTAAACACTTGCTGACATTTTCACCATTAAGGCGCTGCTATTTTATGAGTTGATTCTGTAAAATGAGATTTGGTCTCTTAAGGGGTTGATAAACGGAAAACGCTTTTTGATTATAATACTACATAAGAAAAAAAATCATGCAAGTGCACTTAGGTTTTATGCGTTTTTATTAGCTTTTTAGTAAAAGTAAAAAAATCATTAATTACACTACATTAACTAGTTTTACATATTTTAGATTTTAAAATTACATTTTCGGAAACAACAAATAAGTATTTTATAGTTAATGAAGTTTTTTTTAAATGATTTTATGAAAATCAAGCGAGCGTATGTTTTGGCTGCACCCCTTATACAAAAATGTTTAAAACTTGCCTTTCTAAAGTGTTTTAAAAATGATTTTACACTTCACCAATTTTTTTAAAATTTCGATGGTTTCAAAAAATCTTTTATCTAAAAGATTTTTTTTAGTTTTTTTTTATGTATGTTCGATGATATTTCCAAAATTGAGTAAAGATAACTTTCTCACAATATTCGAAATAAGCCCTCTTATAGTTTAAAAAAATGCATTGATTCACCGTTTATGTTGTCAGATGTTTAGTAGTATATTAGTATATTTTTGCCTTATAATATCCCTTGATTATATTTGGTGATAATACAGGGTTCATATTCAGAAGTTGGTAGATATATATTTATCTATTTAGTGTGTTCCACAATTCTTTTAAATTGTCAGATAACAATCCAATGTATGAAATATGTGATGGAAATGTCGGATTTTGGTAAACTATCTGACAGTGAAGTCACTTTTTTGCTATCTGAGGCTCTATCAGCCAGTGGTGGGACAGGCCCTAAGACAATAAATTAAACTTCTAAGGTCAGTTTAACATTTATCTTATGACCTCATGAAAGATACTAATTTAATAGGATCTCTGTTAAAGATTTTTTTGATTCATCATAAAGATGTTACATTTTTTGTGTTACTGTGTTCTGTTTATTTTCATTTTTTCTTATTCAGATCTGTGTTCTTGACTAAGTGAAATCAAAAATTGTCGTTTATATAATTAATGTGAGCCTTATTTTCTCTCTTTGTAAATTATAGTTCAAATAAAAGAAAATGATTAATAAAAAAACTAATTTTATTTCATATAAAATAACCTCAAAATATATTTACATTATTCAGTCCTTAGCAATGGCCGCAGCAGCCACAAGTTATGATTTTCATTTATACAGAAAAGCAACACATGGGACTTTGATACATTACACCGCCATTTAGCGTATAAAAATACGTCTTTTACAATGACTTATGTCTTCAGGTCCCATGTTATTGTGTACGGGTATTTATAAAGGTAAAAATTGACTACAAGTACGGTCGTCAGACATTTCCGGTTTTTTAATTGGTACAAAATTCGAGATATGACCTATAATAATATACAGAATGTATGTAGGACACTACATGGCAGCAGAAATATAACAAAATAATATGTACACGGTTTTAAAAAGGTAACGTTAAAGCTTTGTATATAGATGGAGATACATACACGTATGTACAAGGTTCTATACGCTAAGACACCCTTCCCAGATCTATTATAACCATGATTTTGCACTCCTAAAACATGCCCATGCTGTTTAAAAAAAATGTTTCGGTAGTGCAAAATCACAGCCACATTACAATAAAACTTATCATAGCTAAGAACAACACTTTGTCAGATTAAGAGCTTCATAGCACAATTGAATTAAAATAGATTTATTTGTAGACTATATATCTATATAGACTTTAGGAACTCGTAATGATACTCGAAATAAATTATTTATAACCATGCTCAATCTCTTGCTCCGATAAAGTGTTTCATTAACATAGTGTTATAAATATCAATTCCTATCTACATATTGTACGCGAAACTGGGATTTTCTAATCGCAAAATAATTGAAAACATTAGGGATGTGCGACACATTATATGCTGTATTCAAACGATTTTTGTGGTCTTTTGTGTTTTTCAAAATAAAATGCAGAGTTTTCATGCTCTTGGTCTTTCGCAATCCTTCATAGTTATGTCTCGCATATTACATATACACTTAATATTACGATGGAAAATACACATTACAATAATATTAATACAACTTTTTTTACAATTAAGCGCAAAACATTTTCAATTCCCACACAGGAAAAGTAAAACTTTGGTCCAAACATTGAGCACTTGAATTAAACTTTATCTTAATTTGTATACAATAGAGAGGTTGTTTGGTTACTGTCAAGGAAAACGCATTTCCGCTACGTAATCTAAGTGTTCTAGGTTGTGGTGGGAGTTGGAACGTCGGGGAGCGCGGGTCCTGTGGATGTTGTGATGTGAGTGCGCTCGCATCACCCTGTATGGCCCCTCGCGGTGAGGACCCGCGTCGCTTGTTTTGCGTTGTGCGACCCAATCATCATCTCTATGCAACTCACGGCTTCTGCGGTAATTCTCTCCAGTCCGACGACCATCATCATGGCGCTGTCTTTGCCATGTCCTGTCTGTATCATGTCCATAAAGATCTAGTTCACCTGAAGGCTGAAATTGACTGGTGCTCTGGTAATTCGATCGTTTCCATCCATCTTCATATTTCTTTCTAGAATTTCCATCGTTGCCGATCTGTCGTCTCTGGGATTGGTTGGAGCTGCTTTCGCTCGTGTCCTCGCCTGAAGTGCCGATACCCAAATCCTTATCGTCGCCGTATATCTTGTACACACCGTTGGGACTGATATTTTTTCCATTAAAGATCTGATCGTTTAATACCAGTTGTGGGTGAGGTAAAATATACGGATGAGGAAAAGGTTTCTCTACTTTCGACACTTTAACGTCATTAGTTCTTCTCGTGCAAGATCCCGGGCCGAAGAGGGATAGTAAAACTGGTAACAGGAATAATCCGTGCATCGCTCCAAAGAATATAACCATGAATACCATTTTGAAGAAGACCGAAAATATGTAACTGTCTGCCAGTAACAACGCCACTACTCCTAGAATAGTACTGAATGAGCCCTGAACTATTGGTAGTCCTAAAGAATACAAACATTCGCTTACTCTCTCATCAGGGGTTTTTGCTTTAGAAGCCATATAAGCGTAACAGATATGGGCTGTGAAGTCAACGGAAAATCCAATGCACATTATTAAATTGATCATGGATATAGAATCTAGGTTGATATCCCATAGTGCCATGTATCCTACGACTCCAATCTCTATAGATATTATACTGAAAGCTACCCATAGAGAGCATAAGATATTCGGGATAAATATAAACGACGTAATCATCATCATGAGTGCTCCGTAGCATAGATTTTGAAGTGACGTTGGTCTGACGAGTTCAAACTGAAAGAAAACAAATATATTATAACATTTACCATAATCATACTTCATACTAATCATATCAATATTATAAATTCACGAGTTTAGATGCATAGTTGGATGGATGTTTGTTAGTGTTTTAGCCTAAACTGTTGAACGGATCTCGATGAAATTTGGCATAGATGTAGAGGATAGTCTGATATAACTCATAGGCTAACTTTTTTAATTCCACGCGGAAAGATTTGCGGGCAAAAGGTAATAACAAAATAATTATCTTCTTAATACCAATAGATACTAAACGTGTACCTGGTCAAAGAAGACGAAGTATGGATGGAAGACAGAAGCGTTGAGAGGAGACTCCGCCACGACCTCCCTGAGAGCTTTCACCATTTCTTTCTCATGATTCGTACCACTGATATTGATCGCTTGAATTAAAAATCTAGACGCGACAATTTGATCCCCTGCTTCGTTAAATTTAACATCTAAAGAAAACGGATTTGCGGGGAACAGCCATAACTGAAACATGCAAAAGAATGATTTCATAACACAACAAAAGGTTAGATACTAGTAGATAAGATGGACAGACAAGTTCTGTATCCAAAAAATCCTGACCTTTTCTTACGACAATTGTAAAATAGTTATTAAAGTTTATCTCACCTCTTTCAGATTTTTTATAAAATCAACTTCATTATCGATAGTGACGTTCAGATAGTCGTTATTCCTCGATACGTAATTGACGAAAGTTCGCAGCCAGGACTCTGTGTACAGAGAGTTCGATATGTACGATGTATTCTCCAACTTTTGGGTCAGCATTTCAACTTCGTCTTGGACTTGTGGATCGGAAAAATTGTAATTCCCAGTGATCACAACCTAAAAAAAAACAAAAACAATTTGAATAAAAATTGTGTACATTTAAAATACGTCTATAATCGGCGGGGAATAGAAAAGAAAGTCGAATAATGATCGAATGTTAGTATTACCTGTATTCTATACGGGAATTCTCTGTAATAAAGATCTTCTCTATCAAAGAACTCTACAGAGTACGAATCGACTTTAGACAGCTTCCTTCTTTCTAAACCTTCTTTAAGGTTCGTTACTCCATAACCGGCTCCAGCAAGATACAACAAGAATACGACGATCACAAGCGCCTTTACTAAACTGTTGTTGAGTATATTCGCCATTGTGGTTTTGAAGAAAGCCATGATGCAATGCTCTTTGTTATCTATCGGGTTGTCCGGATCGGCAACGTCTATACCACCGCTGCAGAATATCCGATAAAGCCATGACTTCTCTTCTGAAAACAATGGTTGAAACAAAATTATGATACAATACGTAAATATGTAGTTCACATATTGTTGCGCATTATAGTCATATTATGTATATAGTTAATTTTTACTCCGATTGTCTTTATTACTTGGCTTATATTTTTACTCCAGCATAATAAAGTTTACAGTTTGTTATCTCAGTATTATGCAGCTGAGGTTACAATTGCGTTATTATTGTAAAATTTATAATACACTAGTCAGGTGCGAATGAATTCACTTTCTGATATTTATAGAATATGTTTACGTGAGTGCAGCCGAGTACCAGAGTAGTGAAAGTAAATACCGGGAGGACAAGAACATTCGAGAAATCGATACACCGTTGAAGCTTACTTAAGGCACATGCAATGCTTTTGCCAATAAACCTTTACGATATTATAACTAAAAAGTCTACAGTTTAATAACTATACAATGCTCCTTTATATCAGTAAGCACACTGTTCTTACACATGTTATTTTTTACATAATATGTCTACATTTTTATAGACCTTTACCTTTTCGTGCTCTCGACTCCGGCAATACTTTGAGCCAGGTGATGGTGTGTCGGTTCTGCTTCTCGCGGTAGCCCGACACCGCCACGCAGCCCGCGAAGAATGTTAAATGCCACACGAACGTGAAGCATACAGCCAGACCTGACAAACAATTCAATACAATACATTTAAATTACATTGTTTTGCAATACGTGGGTATCCGTTTGTTTGGGCAATAATGCACCATCTACTGAGCTGATTCAACCAAAACTCAAGTAGTGATAAAAGTCAAATATTGGTGGTCAGCAGTTAAAGAATCAGAAGTTACCTGAGTACATGCAGAATATCTGCACGGACGGGAAAGGCGAGAAGATGCCGATGAAGAAGGAAAGCATGTCTGTGACGGAGGTGATGGTGATAGAGACAGCTGCCTCAGACAGCATGGTGGCCATGCGCTGGGGCACCGACAGCCGCGGGGACGTGCGACGCCATGCGGCAAGCATCACAAATGTGTCGTCTATGCCGATACCTGAAATATATATCATAAACATTAGTCTACAGTCATTCGCCAAAAACTAACTCTTCTTTCCGTACACATCCATCTACATATCAAGAATTTAACATGAGTCCTCAAGGTGACTTGTTTTGGCATATGGAAGATAAATCTAACTTTAAACACATTTCTAACTAATTATTCATTGTCAGGACATTAGCTAATCGTTTGCATTAAAAATAAACCATAACGACAGTGACTAAGAGAGCGAAGAATGTAGCTTACAATACGTAACATGGTAAAACAATACGATGAAAGTATTACCGATCATTAGGAATGGCGCAGCTAAATTTATTCCAATGAATGAAATTCCTAAATATATCGCGCATCCAAATGCCGCTACCGTAGCCATGACCGCGGAAATATTTCCAAGAAGACCGAGCCATGGCTTCGAGCGTACCCAGTCTCCCATCATGCAGGTAATGATGGAGAAAATGCCCATTAAAATGAAGGTAGAGCTGAAGAAAGGTATGACAGTTCGTGTGTTCTTCTCCAGTTCGTGGTCGAGAGTTCGAGATGCGAAGCGGGCGACGGAAATGTGTTTAAATCGGCCTGTGTCCTCGGCAATGCCCACTTCGTCGAGAAATGCATCCTCCCACGCTGCGCCTCTGCAATTTTATAAAATGAAACATATTTAATTGGCATCCTCTGCGACTGCAAGAAAAGTGTGGTTATAAAATTAGTCATATCAGATATTATGTACAGTGGCCAATTTTATATCGCAACATTTAAGAAATCTCGATCGATTACAAAATGTTTCTATCTATTCATTCGCACCTTTCTATTCGTATTCTGTTCGAATATTACGAAGTGTTTAGTATTCGAAGCGATTTCTTAAAGCGTGTCAAGATCGGTGCCTATTATTTAAGTTATGAGATTTTAGTTGTTTAACTAAATGTCCGACTTTGTTTTATACAGAAAACAAGTAATAAGGAACGCAATGTACGAAAATTACACGTAATATTGTCTACAAAGAGGTAGAGTAACATCTTTGATTTGCTTCCTTTCAGATTTAATAGGAGCCACTTATGTTAGTTTAGTTACATGGTCATTGCTATAATTATTATACATTTTTACAAAATGCTGGTATTAAAACTATGCATAATCATACTAGTTAAGTTACAATTAGTAGACAAACGACAAAATAAAAAATTTGTTTGTTCCAATTTAACTATAGACTAGACCATAGACAAACGTATATAAGACTCACCGTTCCTGTTGTAATTTGTTATCAGTCCTGACGAACCATACGAGTTGTACAGCGGGTACGGATACGATCGTGTCATCAACAACAGTGGCCCCGCCGAAGTACACGGGGAACGCGTGTGCCTCCCACGTCACAGGGTTGAACATTATAGGAAAAGTTAGGTTCAATTCTCCACGCTCCACCTATTGGAAATTATCAAAAGGTTAATGCAAGCCTTGAATAGTAGTTTGAAAGGATATTACCATAAAGCCTTATTAACAAGATAAAAAAAAACTTAAAATTGAACGGTTTATTTTAGGCGTAATGGAAGTTAGTGTAATTACCATGTTTACTTTTAAAAATATTATACCTCAATTGACTTTTGATTATTTAGGCTGGTAAAAAATGCTGGCATTTGCTAAAAAAGTTCGTTTAATCCAAATAACGAGGAAAAAATGTTGTAAATCTAAATCTGCGCGTCTTCGCTTTGTCATCGATCGTAGGTTATGATATGCGGTTTTATTGTTTCTTATTGATGAATCAATGTCATTGTTATGATTCCTGGATGGATGCGTAATCTAATGTAACAAAATACAGACTCGGTAAGTGGAAATAAAAAATAAAAACTACTTACTATGCTGCCATAACAAGACTGTGATGACACATAAGAAATACTAACATAAGGCTATATGTTCTCTATAATCCCCTTTTCTAATAGCGCGACTAGCCCTGGACTTTCTAGACTCAAATAAATGACAGTGGAACACGGGTTTTATACCAAGCCTAATTTTGCCTTTGTCATCTTTACTATTATTACAAAGGGGAAAGATTTGTAATTCTTTCACCATTAAAAAACTACGTTATCAGTGACTAACATAGGCTGTTTTTATTATTTTATAAATTCACGCGGGCAAAGTCGCGAGCAACAGCTAGCTTGTTTGATAAATCATACATCCTTTAATTCCTACTTTTATATGCACTTACCTCGCCGATAATTTTATCCAGATTGAGAATATCGTTGACAAAGCACTGCCCCTCCCATTTGGCGCATTCCTCTCTGTATGTAAATGTTTCTCCAGTTGGCAGCGTTACTGTTATGTTCTGCACCAGTTCGTCCAGCTCACGTAGCTCCTTCCACACTTCTGTCCGCAGCATGTTTGTGATATTGTCCTTTGCTACTATGATTACTCTGCCAAATCTACCTGTTACAGGAAACTAGCATTAGTTTATCTTAATACGTAGACTTCTAGATTTAGATTTAGATTTCTATAAAGCTATCTTATCTATCTTCTATACATATAATAAAATTGGAGTGTCTCTTCGTAATATCAAAAGAAAAATTAAAAATTTCGAGAAGATGATATATTTGTTGCTGATAATGATAAAAGCATTAATTTTTTTGACTGTCTGTTCGTAAACCGCGTTTGTTGCGCGATTTCCACCGGACTTTTACTGAAGGGTAGTTTACATAGACGGCCATATTATAAGGTACTTTTTTATTATCTTAATATTGCGTGAACGAAGTCGCGGTCAACAGGTAGTATTGTAATAAATGTGTTTTTAAAGAGAGTGTGATAAAAATGTTTTATGTAAATTTTCTAAAGTACAAATAGTTTAAACTCAGAGATCCTTTATTTTCCAAGAATTTACAAACAAAATGCAATATTGTGCAACTTGATCATTCATATGTTTTTATATTCTATTATTATGTCTTTATTCCATATTAATAATCTCGAGATTGTCTACTATTAGAAGAAATATAGATATAGATTCATTATCTAATAATATCTGGCAATCTGGCAATTATTTTGATAAACTTACCCGCTCGAGTAATCCTCCCGACGTTAAACCTATGGGAGTAGTTGACTTTGAAGTGCTCTTCGACTATTCTCCTCTCCAGCTTCCCCTGGCCACTGACTGGCGAGAAGAGATACTCAGGGTCCATCTCATAGTGCACCCGTTGGTAACCGGTAACCATGAGTAGGGTCAGCAAAACTGGGATGATGATGAAGTACCCCGGCTGCTTCCCCACTATTAAACCCAGTTTGTAAAACGAACGATTTAGCACGTCGTCGACGAATGTTAATTTGCAACCCATCTGTAACAAAGATAATACTTGTATGAATAATTTTGTACCATTCAGAGTTCCAATGAGAGTTCGCGTGTGCTCACCACCATACATAGCCGTAGTTTCAGGAATAAACCACAACATTCTCTTTTAACTATAAAGTTTTATTTCGTATGTACGGATACACCGTACAATAATTATAAAAAAAAACTAACTGCGATACTTTCTGAAATTACAAGGGTAGAAATTTATCAATTAACTATCTAGATTAACATTTGACTTAAAAACCGAGAAAAAGGTGTTTGAATCCGATTTGTAGTTTTATTAGGTCGAAATAAAAAATATTTCACCATTAAAAGTTATTTTATTACCCAGTAACGGGGTATACACCTCTTTCCTTATTTTTTTTTTCGTGCGAACGAAGTCGCGATTAAAAGCCAGTTTTACATATTACACAAACCAGTAAATCATAGTATACTTGGAATAAACGGGAACAAATAATTTGATCCGTATAACGGAATTCAGTGGCTGACCACTAAACCACTGGCGTTTCATTTCCTATAGTTACTTTACCGTGATCCATACAGTATTAATAACGTAGTTTAGAATGTTTTCTCACCCTCAGATTCAGCTAAGATTATTCGCTTACACCTGACATGTACGAAAACATATCTTTGTAAAAATAGTTTCGTACAAATGTAAATAAAAAAATAACTAAAGCGCTTTCTGAGTTTTCAAATATGAAACAAAAAATCCACGTTTTTTTACCTACATTTCCAAGTATTTATGTACAAATAACAGAATTTAATGATTTGCTAATATTGACTAAAAATCTATGGTACTTTTTACGCTTACAAAAAAGCGAACTGGCTTGTTCCAATATTTATGTGTGTCAGTTCTAGTTAATAGACAAAAGACATTTTGAACCAACTCATAATTACTAACATTTGTAATACAAACGTTAAATATTCACACTTTGAAATTATTTTAACAAGTTCATAGATTTGATTGTTATTTTTACAGAGTTAATACCATAATTTAAAAATAATTAATACTATTATACAAATCGATTTCTCGTCCAAATAATCAATTTCCGATTTGTTGATTTAACATGCATACTTATTCGTTGATCAGCTAGCTACGATTGAATAGACTAGCTGTCAAAATTGACATACAAATGTCAAAATTTTGACAGCTAATGAAATAATAGATAATTAATTAGAATATCGAAACAAATGCAGGATAATTTTAATGAAAATAACAAGTACTTGGTAAAGCGCATCAGAGCCTTCAGAAGTTTCTACAATATTATGTAGATTATTAGTGCGGACCTCCTTGACCGACCGTTTGTAACTTTCCTTTCACTTATATTATTGTAGTAAACATGCTACCGACAGTATGTGAACTTCGTTATTTTACAATCCATCGATGATCATTACAAGAACTGTTAGTAAATTGAGTATGTGAATTATTCACGAATGACCCCAAAGTAAGCCTTGAAGTTGAAGACATGTTAAGTCCCTGATTGCCACATATGATACGTTTCTAACATGAAATATCAAACAGGCGATATTTATTATCTAACGGTAACATATAAAACTCACTGCGTTTTGCTCTAAGAACTATTAAATCGATTTATATAAACGCAACATATATAAAAAAAACTCTAAACTTATCAATTCGTATGAAAGGACAATATTATTTTAAACGTTACATCACTATGACATATTCGTCATTGTGAATGTTAGAAGGAAGTCACTTTAGGACTTCAAAGATTGTAATTTATTTAAATAGTGATTTGTAACACTGTAATGGGAATGGCCACCCACGTGTAGGCGATAACAATCGCACAAGGAGAGGTGGGCGGGCCGTCCGGTACCTTATCACAACTTTAGACTACAGCACTGGTGAATAAACATCCTAATATTACAATGTAACTGCTTCAATCAGACCAATTATTTTATCACTCATCATCTCTCAGTTCTCATCCAACTACCGCTGTGTTGGTGAGCCAGGTTTGCGTTCGCCAAGTTAATCTATCTCATTATTCAATCCCTTCTAGATCATGTCACCTTTCACGCAATCTATCCATTTCTAGGCCTACCACTACCGGTGTACCTTCACACTTACAACTAAATCTTGCTACAAGTAATTTTTCCTGTTTATAACATGCCTATACCATGTTAACCTTTTACTCATTAATTTCTCTATAACTGCGGCTACTTTCAGACTTCTCCAGTGACTTCCCTTAGTGACAAACAAACGTCTTTTGTTTGTCACTAAGGGATGTTGAGTTCTCTACGGAGTTTAACTGCATAGTTAAGAATGTCTAGACAAAATTTGAACTGTCAGTTAGATTGTTACAGTTACTTTAGCTTATACACACAAAAATGTAAACAGTGGTAGAGCCCGCTTTAACATCTTCCGTCGAATGGGCCGGCTCGCCAGGTGTAATACCACGACCACACCGAAAACAGGCGGGAAAATGGAAGCAATTACGCGTTTCGTCTAACTAGTGTGGTGCCAGAGGCCTAATTTTAGTCCCTTTCCCTTTCCACCCAAGAAAAGTGAATTTGACCGGTGGATGAGACGCATAGGAAGGGGAAATTAAGGGTAGGCGACGCATCTGCAATTGCGGATGTTTACGGGCAGCGGTTGCTTTCCATTTCGGTGGATTCAGGTGGCCGCTTGCATGTTTGCCACCTTATGGCATATAAAAAAAAACAATGAAAAATAGTTTATCGTAGATCTAGAGTATGTTTTCGTGATCGTGTGAAAGTATACAACCGGTCGGCGACTTGTCGCGTGCCGTGTCTATGTTCCACACTACTCGTACATCGATTACATCGGTGCAATCTTTGCTTAAATCAGTTTTTACTGGAATGATTACATTACGACGATATACCAGTTATCTGAATGGTTAATTGTTTAAAGGTTTGTACTGAATGACGTTACACAGTATAATAAAACATATTACACAACGAGCAGTCATGCAACACACATATATTACGAACACTTTGTTAAAAGTAAATTAAAAAAAAAAATATTATTTTTAATTATACACGTTGTTATTTAAGGTGATATTATGTGGCTAGAGCTGACATGTACTGAAATATTTTTTTTAAAGATTCTTTTAGAAGACTTTTCCAAAACTTGATAATTAATGAATTTTATTTTTGAAGTCGTTCTTAATTCGATAGTACAATAACTAAACGTAAAGTAAAGCTTGAGTAAAATAAAACAAAAAGTACTACTCAATATAAAAATTGTTAAGACCTTGGCTGAGTGAGTTTGACACTTGTAAACTTGAACTGGCAGTAAGAAATTTCGCAAGACTAATCCACTGCCTTCTGTTGCCAAATAATGCAACTAAGCATAAATGGCAATGTCCTGTAGTTAAAATAAGATTAGGCATCACATAACAGTTTATCCAACTTGCTAAAAAACGACTAACAGCACAGTAGCCAATCATACTAATCACACTAATGTTATAAATGCAGAAGTTTAGATGGGGTGTTTTTTAATGTTTGTATCCTAAACTGCTGGACGTATCTCGATGAAATTCTGATTATATCATATATAGAGGATAGTCTGGAAGAACACGTAGGCTACTTCCATTTGGTTTTTTAAGTCCTCGCGAACGGAGTCGCGAGCGAAAGCTAGTAATATTATAAATGCGAAAGTTTAGATGGATGGATGGATAAATGGATGTTTGTTAGAGTTTGTAGCCAAAACGGCTGAACTGATTTCGATGAATTTTGGTATAGATGTAGAGGATAGTCTGGAAGAATACATAGGCTACTTCCATTTTTTTTTTAAGTCCACGCGGACGGAGTCGCGGGCGAAAGCTAGTTACTTAATAATAGCTATAAAAGTTGAATTTGTAAATTAATCTAACAATATGAATCTATAGTTATTTTAGGCTTTTTAGCAATAGTATTATGAAAAAAATGTGTTAAATATTTTTAAAGACACAATTAACATGACTTCATGGTCTTATATTAAATATTTCTAGGTTACTAAAATGTTGTCATCTTTTGGAATTTTGCACATTGATATTGTCTAAAAGTGTTAAAAACACCTCTTTGTTAATATACGTAGATATTTTTATTAAACGCATAAATTAGCGGCTGGGTAGGGCTTTACAAAAAATATTTTGTAATTGACCGGATGTTTTAAATTCTGAGTTTCTATAAAATATTGTCCTCCCTACATACACGGGGTTTCGGCAGACGAAAATCACGCTTAGAAATGGTCGAATGATCTTAACACTCATATAAATTGGATTTAAATCATTTTAGAAATAAAACCGATAGGAGATACGTTGGATTAAGGACATCTAAAAAATCTACCGATTATAAATTTTGTAAAAAATTACAATCAAACATTTAGGTGTAATAAACAGCAATCACAGCTGGTTTATTTGCATGTAATACGAGAGCGTGTCTTCGACACATAACTGGGTTGCATGCTTACCGGCTCGGACCCGCTATATTAAGGCGGGTGCACACAGTACTTATTTGTCAGAATACATTCGCGATATATCAACGTCCTTATCTGAATGTTTATTAAAGGATTAAAAGGACGGTAAATGATTTGTCCATACAATTATACTAATATTATAAATGCTTATGTTTAGATGGATGGACAGATGTTTGTTTGAAATCAGAGTCGCGTTTGAAAACTAGTATAAGATGTTTGGGACAAACTGATATTGTCCTCTTCTGTACCAGTGAACAAAATCAAAACACTCATAAACAATCTGTTTGTTATCTATACTTAAATTAGAATTAGACAAATGAAAATATGATTTTATGCATTTACTTCTTTACTGGAAAATAATGAAATGCAATTCAAAACAGGCAGTTACAAAACGACGCCTTTTCGCAACATGTGCGCCAGCCCTTATATCGTAACTCAAACATACTTTGTCTAATAAATACAAACAATGCATACTTTAGTTTCTGAAAGTATACTTCAACGAGTTTTTAGTGTTCACCGAATTAACATGACAAGTGGCTATGTAAATA